TGGGTGGAATCGTGTAAAATATTTCCAGCTACGCTCATACAGTATCTCAAGATTTATTCAAATATTTTACGCATATCACGATAAACTGTTTAATTTAAGGGAATCGTTGTTCCAATTATTAATTAATGGAAAGAGAAGATTACAGCATTGAAGTAATCACGAATCAACGGTAACGTTGGCAAAAACGGCAGGCGTGGAAAAATGATCTGTGAGTTACAGAATAGATTATCTAACAGACACGTCGTAACGTAATAACCGAGTTGTCGCTAAAGCTGACTGACAGTATGCAACGAAGATAATATATATGTAATATATCCTTATTGCATCGGAAAACAAGTGAGTTTGAACATGCCGCGAATGCAATCTACGTGAAAAAATCATTAAATTCATGCACATCAAATTCAAAAGAAAAATGAACATTTTTGAAACAGCAAGAATCATAGAATTTTTACAAACTTTGACTAGAGCAGACGAACTATCGCGATATACAATTTACAATTCTGCGAAATAAATCTGTTAAATGAATTTTAAACATTCTTATCCTGAAACGATCAAAACTTTGTTCCGTATTTGATCGAAGGGATTAACGGAAAGCAATAGAGAACGCGCGCGCAGCAACGTAAACAAAGCCACGAGATCGAACGAGAAGAAGAAAGAGGTTATGTATCGACAACACCTACCACATCATACATCCATGCATCCATGACTGTCGGTTCTATCCAAATGGCGCTAGGATGCTGGGCTTTTATTTTCCTCTTACGCTTTTGTACGAAAAAACGAACGAAAAGCAAAAATGATCACGATGCTTAAGATCCGAACACTCATGAAGAACACGAATAAGCACATGCACGACGTACTTATGTACACAGCATCCCCCTACCACGACGTTGACGGCGCGACGAGCCGTACGCGACTGACGGCAATTCAGACGATCGGTAATACACGGAGCCAGCCGATCCTGATACCGGGCGCTACAAATCCACGAAACATATATTTCTTATTCTAATTACTTTATCGCTTAACAATTTAGCTGAATTTTTGGACAATCTACAAATTATCTTGCCCAATTAATTAATACATGTTCGATCTTATGTTCCAATTTCATATTCAGAATAATGTTTTATGAATGGAAAAACCAAGCATTTCAAACATCTCTCTTACTTATTATTGTCATTGACAGATCGGATAAGCTTCTCCGGGTCATCAAAGCATACTTATATTTGCCAGCTAGATAGACAATCAGATTAGTATAAAAAAAGTTAGACGTAGATTTAAAATTGCCCACTATTCATAATTCAACAAATGTGAGATTTTTCAAGCTGATTCAGTACAAGTTACTGCTTTCAAAGTATCCCATAGCAAATTGTTCGTACTCGGAGACTTCACGGAATTAGATCGGACCATATTTATCGATGATAAAAGCATCGACCACTCCAATCTAAAACATAACTGTTACCATGTTGGACAAATACAAACGAAACATTACCGTGGATATTATCATGGTCATGACAATCGGTCATTAACTCTTGGCCTTAAAGTTACTTTTAAATCACGTCTTTCGACAATTGAATCTTCTCCTTCGATGTTCCAGATACAATGAGGAAAGAGTGAATCGATTTGTAAGGGCAAGATGTTAATCGAACGAACGATTCCATGATTGGGAGAAATTTTTATGATTCATCAAGAGTGTGTATGAAAATGAAGAAACTCTTTGAGAATATATAAACGAAGAAAGAGCGTATGAAGTGACATTGTGTAGACGTAGGAGCCAATTGAATTTTCAGACGACTAGGTAGATCGATCGAGCCCCAAAACACTCCCTTTACCCCCATGGTCGAAACAGTTCCATGCTCGGCCTAAGTTGATACGTTACTGGCGTTATGCGTGCTACGTGTATATCACGATGGAAGGGTGAGA